GGGAGGAGGCCTGTGAGGTTAGTAGAATGCATCGCCCTGGTTAACGGAGTCCGGGGGGCCTGAGCTGGGCTGGAGGGGATTCATGGGCAAGAATTCATGGGCAAGAAAAGTTTGCAGGGAGGAGAAAGATGTGCTTTTGAAGGGGGAAGTGGGCCACCCCAAGCCCTCCCCCTGGTGCTCCTGTTGAATGAACTGCCAACCAGGGCAGAAAGAACAACCTGGCGACCTCCAGACCATGGACTTCAGCTCCCAGAATTCTCCTGCCAGCCTGGCCATGGTTGAGAATTCTGGGAGAGGAAGTCCACACATCTGGGAGCTGCCCAGGTTGAGAAGCACGGAGCTACAGGGAATAGAAAAAAAAGCTGAGACGGGTGAAGGATAACCTCCGAATTTCCTTTGGAAAGAGACTTTAGCTCAATGACAAAACCACTTGCATGCAAAATGTCCTGGATTCAATTGCTGGCAATCTGAAGCTTAGCATTCTGGCCTAATTGCTCCCCTTCCCTAACATAAGGCTAAACCAGTAAACATTTCCTAAATCTTGCCTGAAATTCCTCCTCTAACCACGCTGCGTAGTTGGGCTAACCTGACTGCTTTCTGAAACCTGGAGAAGTGCTGTCTTGGATCAATTGCCTAATTCAATTTAAGGCAACAAGGCTTTTCACCAGAATCATGAGGACTAGGACCTTTATCCGTATGGGAGAGACACAGCTAAATCCTTGCTTGGCATGTAAAGATCCGTGCTTGGCACCTTCAGGTAGAACTGGGAAAGGTTCCTATCTTCAACCGCTGTCCGTGAGACACCCTCCTTAAACCCTCCTTAGCATCAGTCTGCACCAGGCTGGGATGGACAAGAATTCTGAGTGGAGGATAATACCTTCTCTTTAATATTCACTTTGAGCTCTAAGGACCGTCACCTCCCACCCACAACCCCGCAAATCTTGGCTATCGCCAATTCCTAGTGTCTGTTTCTTTCAATAACACAAGCAAGGATTTATATGCATCTGGGCAGTGATTAAAAAGATGTTTTTAATTGCCTTATTATGCAGGATTTGCTTTTGGTGGAAGGCAAAATAGTTCTGCATGATGCCCAAATGAATGCCTGCGCTTTGGTAACCAGTAAAAGAAATAAAAGCCAGAGCACACATGTGCAGAATCTAAAAGCTTTCTGTTTCAAGGGGACAGATGACTAATGCATTAGCGCCATCCTGGTTGGGGTGGGAAAGAGAGTCAGTTGGTGGCACCAGGCTAGAAGCCAGGAGGATGTGAGTTCCAGTCCTGCCTTTGGCACAAGGCCAGCTGGTGACTCTGGGCTTGTCCCTCTCTCTCAGCCCTGGGAAGAAGAAGAACAAGGGCAAACCACTTCCAGAACTGCAGGAGTGGTCCAAGCAGGAATCAAAACTGACTCAGGCACCCCCAAAAAAGAGAAGGAAATGTCCATTGTTAATAAGCTGTCAATCACAAGGATAAGCGTGACTGATTTGGGTTTGGGTTCAGCCGGGCTGGAAAATGAGAAGCGACTTGCCACTGAAAAGGAGAGAACCCTCACCTGGGCATCAGCCAACATCACATCCTTGATCTGGGGCAACCCACTGGCTTCTCCGTTCTCCATGCGCACATAATGAACTTGGTAACCACGTATCTGCCCGTGCTGGCGGTTCTGGACCGGGGAGCGCCAGAAGACTTGGATGGCAGTCGAATTGAGAACCTCCACTTCCACCTTACGGGGTGGAGCGCTGGGCACTGGAAGCAGAAGGGAGGAGGAAGAAAGAGGGGAAACGTGGGGAGAGACAAGAAGGGTGCAGCTTTAATAGGAGGAATCGGTCATTCAAACGGCTGGCGAACGGGCGTCTGGTTTTTACGCGGACCTGAACGGTCAGATGCTTTTGGGACTCTGCTGGACCCCCCGTTTTGCACGCTCAAGAGCTGCAATATGGAACCGTGAGTGGGGCTACAGTGGGAAAAGCTGGCAGATTGTGTGTGGGTGTTTGGGTGTGTGTAAGTTCACCTATACAGGTTCACAATAAAAGAACACCTGTTGGGGAGACAATCAATGATCTCCTGCCTGGTTCACCCATGACTTCCGATGACAGCAGCCATGAATTTGTGTAATAGCTGGTTTGACTTTTTTTTCTTTTTTAAAAAAAGCTATTCTAGGTTCATCTGAAAAACCTCCTGGTCTGCAAAACCCAGCTTCCAGGACGAGGCTTCCGAGAGGCTGACGCGGGCACAAGAAGTGGGGGTCCCTTTCGCCTGGCATTCTCCCCTCTATACTAGCCGGTGAGAACTTGCCCCCATTTTATTGTTGGTATATTTACGGCTACATTTTACGGTGGACGTTTTAATGGTGGTAAGTCACCAATGGATTCAATGAAACGAACTGGATAAATAAATAAATTTCAGAAAGGCTTTTCCTAGCTTCCCTTGGAGATGTGGAGAATTCTAGCTGGCATTTTCTCTACGCCAAGCAAGCAATCTGCCTCTGAACCCTCATTCTTCCCAGAAACAATGCTTGATTAAGTCTTCTCCCTGAAGATTAGCCGGCGAAAAGGCTTCTAGACATATACCTTGGATTTAAATGACTTTATATACTGCGGCTGCTCCTTCTCTGTAGCAGATTAGAATTTTTTTTCCCTTGAATTTGGATGACTTTGGGAGTTGCTAATTCCCCAGGAAGGGAAGATGGGGATGGCCTTTTAACCTCAATGTTGGGCCGGATCAAAGTCCTATCTCTGAAAGCGACTGGCAGAATTCAGCACGTTGGGTGCGAATGAGCTCGGGGCAAAAATTTTAGTAGAACGTAAGCAGGGACCCAGCAAATCTTTTAACCATGTTAAGCTCTCCAAAACCCTGGAAGCCAAGGGACCTCAGGCAGCAAATTATACTGCTGTCCTACAGCTATGCTCACTGTTCCAAGAGGCCCCTACAATTCCAAATAATTTCTCAGCCCTCAAGCTGCAACTAAAAAGGCAGAGTTAAGCTTCATTCCTGAGGCTCTGCGGATTCAACCCTGTCATTTTCTGGAAAGCCGTTTGGAGGGCCTTTTCCTAAGATGCTTTTGGGACTTCCCAATGTAACCTACAACATTGGGAATCTCCTGGTGGCCCCCCATCCAAGGATGAATGAGGGGTGATCTGTCTTAGCTTTTGCGGGGGGATCAGCCAAAGTCAGCTAGGTGGTTATGACAAGCTAGCAGGTTAGGGGTTAGTCGTCATAACTTGTATTCAGGTATATGGATACCCTCAAGAGGGGAAGCATTTATCAGTGTAAGTATCCCCCAACCCAAATTGGTGGGCTCAGAAAAGGAGGGTAGGACAACAGCTTCCTTTAAGGAAACCAGGGTCCAGATTGTTCCATGTACTTCAATGAATCTACAAAACAGTCTCTAAATCAATGTTTCTCAAACTTGGCCACTTGAAGATGGGTGGACTTCAACTCCCAGAATTCCCCAGCCGGGCCTTTGGCACCCCGAAATCCGTTTTCAGAAGCTCAGTTTTTTTTTAAACAGGTGAACCTGAATAATACGGATATTTATTTCTTTATTGTTTTTCTTGTTTCGGATTTTAATCATAAGCCGCCCAGAGTCACCCTCTGGGGGAGATGGGCGGCGTATACATTTAATAAAGAAATAAAATAAAGAAATAAACCTCACGCTTTTTTTTTTTTTGGTGGGAGCGGACAGGAATTGTGGCAAAGCAACCCCAGGATCTTAAAGCAAGCTTTTCGACCCGTGTCTTTGCTCCGGGAACCACGTCCGGCACAACAGCCCACCCGTCCACGCTCCGAATTGGTGTCCCTCCCGGCATCGTCTTTAGCGGCAGCCGCTACTGCAAGACGCTTCCAAAAAATAGGAAAAGAGGAGGGCGCAGGGAGAAAGCCCCACTTACCATCTTCGTCGGTACGGACTATGACAGGCGAGCTTTCTGGGCCAGGCCCCACCATCGTATGCGCCACCACGGTGATGCGGTACTCCGTCCACTTCTCCAGGGCTTCCAGGAAGATTTGAGTGGTTGTTGGAGGAATATCCGTCACCTCTTTCAGTTCCGTGACCTCCGGGTCCAGGGCTCGGTATCGCACGCTATAGCCTTCCAAGACACCGTTTTGGCTCTCAACGGGAGGAGGTTGCCAACTTACCAGAATGGCCGTGGACCTGGTGCTGACACATTTTACGTCTTGAGGGGGGGCAGACGGTTCTATGGTAGCAGTAGGGGTAGTTTGGGG